TAATCAGCCAGGAGGTTTAGCAGCAATGTGTGTGGACAAACATGTGACCAGTTTGTCGATTCATCAACCAAAACCATAAGTATTTGTATGGTCCGCGTTTTGGTTATATTAGTCAACATATATTCCCTTGAATCCATTGTGAAAAAAAAAAGGTGATTTCGTATCTTTGCAAGAAATGATATAGAAAATCAATTTCCCTAATGAGCAGGCTTGGCAAAGTGTGCTTGTAGGCATAAGATCTTTACTTCGGGTAAGAAGATGCGTCGTAGTATCATTGTTCGACCTAAGTGTCCCAAAAGGTAGTGCTAAAACAAGTAAATTGCTCAATCACCCAACTCCAAGCTGGCCACATGTGGTGTATACCCAGTTGGGAGACAACCCATTGGCCCCAAATCAAAGCTTTAGGCTTATTTTTGGAGGTGGTGCAAAGATATTTCACTCTATTTTCTTTAGTGATTTCATTTATGATTATTGTCATCTCAAATATCCTTAAAAACTCAACGTCAGGGAGAATTTAAGGTCCCTTAAATGGTGATGCAGTACCATTCATACAACGAGGAGCGTGCCAATGCTCTTAATCAGGTTGGATAGACTTGAAGTCGTTGTTAGAGATTTGATTTAGGTGTAAAGTTAGTGTGCGTAGTACGCATTCATCCAAACAACTAACTTTCCCACATTCCTACCTAATCACGTGTTTAATTGGCAATATCAATAAGATTATTCATAAGTAAAACATACACCAAACGTGAATCCAAGACCATGAAAAAATGTTCACAAATTAAATGGTTTACTAAGGGGGATTCGGCCAACAAGGCTATCCATGTCAAAATTCTGCTATTCCAACAGTGTTTGGTGGAGCAAAATTAGTCTCACATATTGACTATTAGAATGGTACTCCTTAACAACATTGGTAAGGGCACGAACAGGTGCATAACTAATGATCTATTCCATTCAGAAGGAAGTAGATTCTGCAGGGTTAAGGTTCGACAATATTTTCCCTTATTCTTGAAGTTTTAGGTCTTAGGTACCAAGGATGATGCTTCGGGCATGATGCCACACCTTGGTAGGCCCTGATTCTACCATATGTTGTAAAAACAAACTCGAAATTGGTTGTGAGAGAATATGTCATTCGGTGTATCCCTGCCAAAGCAGTGTATCACCATTCGATAAGCTTTGATCAAACTGGGTCGAGCAATTCGGTAGACTCCAGCCGAACTGGATCCATACCTTTTTCTCACGTTTGTGGTAGTAATCAGATCCGAGAATTTGGTAAACTTTCGTTTTCTACATTGCTGCTTCAAGGGTGAGTTAGAAACATGGAAGGACAAGAAAAGTTTTCTTTAGTAAAAAAATTGATCGGATTTATAAACTTCAGAATTGTATTCATTCATGGACATAATCATGGTGTGCTTCAGGCAATGTCCTTCATGATTAGACGGTCCGTAGAAGCGAGCCAAAGAGCCATGGAATCCTCGATCGGGAGGTATTTCCATTTGTAATGCTTTGAGCATAAGTCTTCGAATGAAGATCATGACGGAAGCTTATTTAGCTCTTCCATGCCATTGTTGGCTTCAATGGTTTCTCAGCTTCTTGATAGTCAAGTGGAGATTCACGTCTTGTACCCCACATAAAGTGGTTTCTAATAGAAAATGTCCAATTCTAGAAAATCAAACTTATGACAATTCGACAATCCACTGAATTGGAGGGAACAAGATTGTGATTGGTGCTATGGGAATGAATCATCCATAAGCATCAAAGTTAGAACATTCAAGTTCTAAGACATGGTTTTCATGAAACAAACGTCAGGTTTTCATGGGTGTATTGTTTTATGAAAACTTCGGGTTTCAAATGCACTAAATTTTAAACTATAGGTTCAATTTAGTTTATGAACGTTTAGTTCATAAAAGAGAGGTTCTTGCAAGAACACATAATGCAATATACAACTAAGTGTAGTGGATTTGAGGTTCTTCGGGAACTCAAGTGTGAATGCTTCAGGACTACGAAAGTAAGTCAACGATTCAAAGTATAAAAATAAATTATTGAATCGTTAATGTCCAAAAGTGATATTCAGGTCAATAATTTTGGATTAATTATCAGATTAATGGATTGCAGGTCATTTTTAATTAATTCAATAGATCGGTACCATTCGAGGTCGATTGTAGAAGCAAAAAATAAAATTTGTCTAGGCCCATTAATTATTTAATGTTGGCTGTAGGCCTCACAAATAAATTATAAGGCCCAAATTGGGCTCGGGTTAAATAAATAACAACCCTAGCAAACTGGGTTGTGAGCCGTGACAAAAAGGAAGCCTAACCTGGGCTTGGGTTGTAATAGAAGGCAGCCCAGCGAATTGCTAGAGTTTTTCACTCTGGGGACTAGTGGTCCATACTACCAAAATCCTAGGAAAAAGAAAGGCAGCCCAGTCAGCGTGTGCAAGCTGCAGGCTTGCAATAAGAAAGTGGGCCGTGTAAGGCTGCTGCAGGCAGCCTAACAAATTGCAAAAGTTAGATTGCAGGATTACTGCAATCACAGGCCAAGGAAAAGAGGAGTAGCCCAGCAGTATTAGGTTGCTGGCTGTGTAACCCAGGACAGGCTGGGATGCAAGCCAAAATAAAAGTAAAAAATCAGAAGCAGCAGACTTGTGATATGCGAGCCTAAGGCTGCAAGTTTGTCAAGTAAAAAAAGCCCATCGTGTCGTGCACAGAAAAACCCAAAAAAAATGGAGCTGCTGAGTTGGCTTGGCTTCAGGCTAGCTAGGCGCGGCTCAACGATTTTCCTTTTTTTTTTTTTTTCAAAATCTAGGGTTTGAAAAACCCTAATTGCTTCTATTTTATTTCGATTCTTTGACTCACAAATTCCTCATAGCGATTTAATTACGTAATGCATGAAACAAATATATATATTGACATATATATATATATATATATATATATATATATATATATATATATATATATATCGGAAGAAAAATATAAATATAGGGGGTTCATGCATCATCAGGAATGTTTTCATGCTTCAAGGTCGTTTCAAATATCTTACTTTATTTTAAGCGTACCTGATTGGCAGAAAACAACAAAAGCCTTTGAATTTGTAGAAGATTCTTCTTGGAAAGTCGGAATTGCATCTCCAAAGTGTTGTATCACGTTCAACACAGAAAAATTAAATTGAATCAATAGCATGTAGTTCAATTCAATAAAATAATAAATTAATCATAAAAAGAATGATTAAAACGTAATACTCCCCTGATTGAAGATCAAACTCTCTTTAGCACAACATCAAGAGCGTGCTGATAACGTGTTGTAGGCATAATTTACTGAACAATTATGGAGGCGATAGAGAGAGAAAAATGTGCGGCAATGGAGAAGAAGAAGAGAGAGATGTGTAATTGTGGGTGTGTTCTATTCCATCTCATTGTGCCTTTATTTATAGTAGTAGGATAGGTAAAGACCTTTCTCTTTAGGATTACAACATTTAATAGGCAATCAACTCCTAATAGGAATATTTCCAAGATATACTAGGATTTACACAATCACATTTCTAATCTAATAGGATTGCAACATAAGCTACTTTTTCTTTATCTTTTTATGTTGTTTTCTAATTAAACTTTTGGCTAATTGGGTTTAAATATTAGAAAAACTAATGAAAAGAGCTTGAAAAGTTTGAGTTTTAATAATAAAGACAAAATAAAGGGTAAAGTGAATAGTACCATGATTGACTTTTTAGTGTAAAAATATGGTTTTTCGTTAAAATGAACAAATATCGGAAGTTTTTCATTAAAGTTCCCTTTAAATATTTTGTACATGTGAACCAATTATGCAAGTGGTCCACTAATTCTTTGGTTTAATACAAGAGTAATACTATGTAGACGAAATTTGTAGATTAAATTACAAACTAAATAATATGTCATCAATAAAAAATAAGCATGTTAATCAACAATTAAGTAATAATCCAATCATAAACTTTCATGTCATTTGGTTTACAATATATGATCTACAAATTAGTCTCCCTAGCATCACCCTTAATACAAAGCAGGTATTTTTTACTACAAAAAATACTGAAATGGAAAACAAAAAGGTAAAATAATACACTTGAATTGAAGCACTGATATATATACACACAAAAAAAAAGATGAATATAGTTTATATCAATGTTTTAAAAAACTAGCCTCTGGGGCGCGCCTAGGGGGCCTCTGGGCGTGAAGGCTAACACCTCAGTTTTGATGGAATGGGCAAAAGGCTTCGTTGGAGACGCTGAGGCAGCGGAGGCGCGCCTCAAGGCGTCTAGGTGCCTTGTTTGCCCTTTTTATTTTTTATTTTTTATTTTTTTATTTTAAACCACCCAAACCCAAAACAACGTCGTTTGGGTAAGGGTTTTGAGTTTTAATTCCAGAAATCCACCATACAAGGACCATACATACCTTCGATCATCCTCTGCTTTCTTCACCCTCTTCTTTAGCGCACCAAAACAGCAGTCGCCGCCCGCTTGGAGCAGCAACGGTTGCCACGCCGCCGTCAAACACTGGTGTGAACTATGAGTCGTGATGTAATACTTTTGGCTTGATATGGGAGTTGAGGAGCAATTTGGGGTAGGGGTAGGAAAGAGGGAGCATTCTGGGATAGGGTTAGGTGCGATACTACAATGTAGTAGTTTTGGGTATGAGATATGGAACAGTCAAGGATAAAGGCAGGTCTTTTAATTCTTTTATTTCTTTTTAAACTTTAAATAATTTTACTGAAATAAACCTGCTCTCACCATCTGTACCGGGTAAGTTCTTGAAAAGTGCTTCTGACTCCAACTGTCTAGTGCCATAAATCTGGGGCAACATTTGACTCAGAATGGTTGGTGTATAAATTAATAAATTGTTGGTGAGAAATTACCTTTTGAATGAATGATTGATTTCTTTGTTTGTATTACATTTTGAATGATGAATTTAGATGATATTACGTTTGAATGATAAATTTAGATGATATTATCTTTTGAATGACTATGGATTTGAATGATAAATTGAGAATGGATGTTTATTTTACAAAGTATTATTTTTTTACACATTAATGTATAATATATAAATCATATATATATAAAAAAATTTAATCCCGTAAGGCTTCGCCTCACGCCTAGGCCGGGCTTCACCTCGGACGCCTCACCCACACCTCACGCTTTTAATACATTGATTTATATACAAGTACATACAAATATGGTTTTCGTAAATATACATGTATTATTTTTTTTCAAGATTTTTACTCTTTCTGTTGGTAGTTAAAAGGGAATAGTTTTCAAGGACTCAAGACAACTTCACTATGTACACTACCATCCTCCATTCTTATCCAAGATTTAACAGAGAAAGGCTGCTCGGTGATTTCCACAATTCTAGCTCCTCTGTCCCAGTTTCCGTACCCACCATAACCGGTATGCCGAGCAAAACATAGCCACAGTTTTTCGTAGGGGCAACACCAGTCTAATCCATGGTTGTGTCCTACAAATATTGCCTGCAACAACCCAAAGAAAATGAATAGATCAATTTAACATAAAAGTATATCATCTGACTGTATCCTATGGTACGTTTCGCCATTCTATAAATTTTCGGTGACTTGATTCAGACAGTAATTCAAGGTGGGAACAAATAGAAACATATAGAGTATCATATAAATAAAATTTAAGGGGCAAAGCTAAGTCAAGACACAGAAAGAAACACAACATTGACTTCAGGAAGACTGCAAGAAGATTGCAAGTTTCATGCTTTTGCAATGTACGATTGTCAACTGGAAGGATCACGACTGAGTTTGTCGGAAATTCAGAATAGAATAGTACAGAACATTAACTTTAGGAATCATCAATTTGATATGCTTCTATCACTAATAACTTATTAACAAATATTCGTTTCCTAAAGGCTAAAGGAAATTGTCATAGAATTGGGAGGGGTGTGTGTGTGTGTCTGAATAGAACTATCCCAAATTGTTCCGTTGTTTTCTCATGATAGGAAAATCAATTGGTTGCTACGATAGTTGCACTGCTGCATTTTACACAATAAGCAAAGACTGTTATCATTTACATATATCAGACAAGTCGAGCAAGAAAGAGAATTCAGCGCAAGTCACTAGAGAACAGATGGATATCACCTTCTCCAGCATGCAAAAACTTATGATGAAAGTTATGGTTCGACCAAAAACGTCAGTACAAAGCAAACCATGAATCTGTAGACTCTAGAATTGCCAAGAACCAACTAGGATTTGAACAGAAAATTTAAACCTAAGCACTAATACCTTTGGATGCAAGTCGCTTGCCATGTTTTTTTCACTACCAGTGGTACACTCAGTCAATGTATCTTGGTTATCATTTGACAATGTTTGGCAGTCTGATTGTGAAATTAGAACTCTCCATCCCTCCCATCATCTCTGAAATGGGGGTGTATTGGTTTTTATTCCTGAGCTCCATCAATTAGTTTAAAGCAACGGTTTAGTTATATTTCTTAGGAACTAATACAGATCCAGTTGATTTTCCTAAGCGATCACTCAACTAGTCCATTCCATAATGCCAATCCCCACAGGAATACATGTAGTTGACCTGTTGGATGCTACATAGGAGCATTTCAGTTGGCTGCTCCCTCTTCAGTATTCATTTTTTCTCTTTCGATGTTCCTCTATTTGCAGAAGGATGTTAAGGTTGGAACATCCAACCTAAACCTCTTTTTTTGGTCAACAACAACAACAAAGCCTTTTCCCACTAAATGGGGTTGGCTATATGAATCCTAGAACGCCATTGCACTCGGTTCTGTGTCACGTCTTCCGTTAGATCCAAATACTCTACGTCTTTTCTTAGAGTCTTCCAAAATCTTCCTAGGTCTTCCTCTTACCCTTCGTCCCTTTACATCTTCTAACCGGAGCGTCAGTAGGCCTTCGTTTCACATGTCCAAACCACCGTAATCGATTTTCTCTCATCTTTCCTTCAACGAAGCATTCTCATCCAACGAAGCATTCTCATCTCCGCTACACCCATTTTATGTAAGTGTTGATGCTTCACCGCCCCACCTTTTTTTTTCTGTCAATGGAAATATTTCATAAATCTGGCAAACATAGTCAAGCAAAGAGCAGGGAGGAGATACAATAAAAAAGAACGTGCTAGTGATGCCCAGTCTAGTCACTGACGACACCAACAGATCACTAACATCAACTACCTATGCCAAAAGGCAACCAAAAGAAAAGGGAAGAGGAATTACACTCCATCTTCCATTCTACAACAGATTTAAACAGGTAGACATGGCAAGCCACCTCGAGACAGAACCAACAAAAGAGAGGGAGGTGGCCTTGAGGCCCAATGGTGACAACTGACAACTCACCCTCTTGATTCCCAATGATGCTGCCACATGAGCTGCTTGATTTGCCTCACGGTGAATTCCATCACACTTGGTAAAAGATGCAGCTTTCCTCCAGATAGCTTCAACGATTGGAAAATTTCTCCAAGGGCCCCTGATTGACTTGCGAGAGATGAAATCAATCACGACTTCAAATCACTTTCCACAACCAAATTAAGAACCCTAGTATCACTCACTAAATTGAGGCCAACAAAGATTGCCTCAGCTTCCACTTCCACTTCCCCAGAGGAGGATTGGTTAAGGTGGGAATGTTCAACATCTATCAAGACACCGCCTTTGTTAAGAATAAGGAACATGGTTTAGCATCTGATTTTACTCCAATGACCACTTACGTACGAGGTTTCCAAGCCCCATGGGTATTGACTTTGAAATACGGTGGCAAGGAAGAAGCAATCTAGCTTCTTGTTTGGTACTCAAACTATAGGCTTTAGGGCCAGTGCATCTATCCAACCTAACATCTGGAATTTTTACATAACACAACTCTCATGTATGGCAAGACTTAACCAAACATGTTCATGAATTATATCAAGTCAGTAACATGGAGAATCTGTGACTAAGGTGGTTCTCACATTCAGGTATAATGTTAAAATAAGAGCATTCAACCAAATCACAACGGGTCGAGAAGCCCCTGATTTTATATATTGCAGTTGCAAAGCTTGTTTAGAAAATATTGAATTTAAAAAATCTTTATGAGCTTCTGATATTTAAGTTCATAAGACTAAACCTAGCTTATGATACGGTTAAACATTCATGTTTGTTAATATTTAATAACTTCATTATACATGTAATCTAATGATGGTGGATGTGCCCTACACGAATGCATGCCAAATTTTAACAGGGATAAGCATTTGACCTAACTCACCTTGGCAGAAGGCCTTTCAACCAAAAGTTTCATGATACCCATTTCAGCTTCTTGAGTTGCTACTCTCTCCTTGTTAATTGAACCCACACAAGGCTTGTGTATACTGAACCATGGAGCCGCCTTCTTATAAGCACGACTTGGTATATGCCAAAAGATTATCTCTGGCACCCTGCCAAATAAGGATTCTTTGATTGACAAGAAATAAGAGAAGAACAATAAATCTCGGCAAGCAGTCAGGTAAATCTCTTTCAGCACAGGCACAAAATAAAAAAAGTCGAAATTCTAAATTCTGGTATGAGATATGTACTTGTACTCAGGAAAAATCTGATGCTAAGCCATGTTCCTCTTGTCAATAAGGTGAAAAAAAAAGGGATAAAATGATGTTCGTTCCACAATTTTCTACCTTGAATCAGGGTTCATCTCTAGAGCTTTCTGGCGGAACCATTCTGCTTGGGCACTGGATATAATTTCTGGGTAGGAACCACCACCAGAATCTAGGAAGTACAAAAATGCCACAGGTGACTTGGGATTGTCGGACGACAAAAGTTGGAGGACATAGTTGGATATACTAGGCCAAAGTTCTTTAGGACCATATCGAGAGTATGATAGCGTGTTACGCTCAATCTCATTTTTCATTAACCCCAGACGTTGTGTGCCCTCAAAGCGACACTCTTCTTCTCCTTCATAACAGACAGCCTTGTGTTAGACTAACTAGTATCCAAATGTTTTTCTCACTGTATTGATCAAATTAACAACATAATAGATAAAACTTCTCATCCACCTGAGCATGATGAATTGGCTACACGGCAACGAATTTCAGGAATTCCAGGGGATGAAAACCACTCAATTGGCCACACAAATGCTGCATCATCGTGGTTTCCAAACACACTTGCCCAAGGAATACCCCTAGCTCTTGTTGGAGAAACTGCCTGATCCCAGTACAAGCTTGCATTTTTAATCGCTATATTGTTGGCTGTGATGACATCTCCGAGATAGATAACGAAATCTGCAATTTACTTTTCATTCCTTAGAATCTATAACGACACAGCAACGGGAATACATAGTAAGACAGGCAGGTTTACAGGCTAGATTAAATAACAAATTTCATACTCTACCAGCTTCAAGACAACAACCAGAAATGTGAAACATAAAAAAGAACATAAATTTGGTTCAAAGAAAATGGAAAAGAACAGACCAAGATCTTGTATAATATACAATATACTTGATGATATGTATCATCAAATTCAACTTTACGAAACCGGAAAACGATAGCCCTTCGCATGTTGATTAACATTAACTTAACCTAATGAACGCCCATTCTTTAGGTTGGTTTAAACTAAACAAAGTGCCCAAAATCTAGGCCGAGATTAGGCGAATTTTGAACATTAACACTGTTTTCCAATTTCCAAAATACCAATTTCATGTCACAGGGCAACAATATGCTTAAAATTTAAGGTTAAGATTTTGATTATCAATCTCAATTAGTATGAAAAGGATCATTAGCAATCCTGGACATACTCTAATAACAATAGAGCACCAACACACACCCACAAGTTTAAATCATTTTTCTCCATGTTTTCCTGAACATGTTTATACTAGCACTGCCCTCTACTGGAATTCCTCTCCATTTGTAAACGGCAAGTCTTAGACTCGACTTTCATAAATAACGAGTCCAAAATTTATTCGACTTTCATAAAGAAAAAGACGAAAGTCAACAATACGAAATTGCAGAGAAAATTGAGAAACGCTGGCTTTTATTCATGGAAAACGGAGGATATTGTAGATAAGACTTCAAGATGATGGAAAGCAATGGAAAGTGCGTCCTCTCCGCAAAGCAGGTCGGAAAAAAGTCAGAGCGATCGATAGAGATGGTGGAATTAAAAGAGCCGATTGGCTTATTCGGTTTTCAACGGCGGAGTTGTAAGCAAGAATAGAAAGTTGGCTAAAAAATTGAGTTCTGGGCAAAGCCAGCAGACAGATGCATTCCTTTTATCGATGGTGACGCATAGATTCATGGTGAGGGCTTTGGGTGGTGGGAAAAGGATAAATTTCGGGTTTTCTGATCTAATAAGAGTTTTTCCATGCTTTACCGGCACAGGGACATGGGATTATTCAATTATTATAATTTTTTGGTAAATGCGACAATGGAAAACTTGATTTCTTTGTTGATGGTCTTCCTCGGTCTAATGCTAAATATGAATATATTATTTATTTTTGCACGGCAGATTGGCTATTCCTATAGAGTTAAAGATTTTTCGTTTTTTTTGAAGAATTTTTTGTTCACAAGGAAAATAGGTTAGCCTCTCTGTTAATTATAAGATTGAAAATAAAAGTATTGGGAAATTAAACTTATTATTAAGAGGAATTAGAGTATTGGAAATATGTTTTATGTGTGATTTGGCACACTAAGAAAATTAGGAGTTTCAACAGAAAGACCACATTAAAATGCGTAATAAAAGTCAAACACTAAGTGGTGTAGTCATATAAGGATTTTAAAAGACTTTAGAATCCTAAGGTAATCAACTACGATTTTATTAGATTTTAAAAGGGTTGTTGATGCACCAGTGAGGACTTTGTACAACAGAAAGTGTTAAGTTTGTGGACTTCGCTAGATTGCTCGGTCACTAGTATGGATAAGTATGTAAATGGATAGAGATAAGGAAGCAAACACAAGATGTACGTGGTTCACCCAGATTGGCTACGTCCACAGAGTAGAGGAGTTTTCATTAATTGTGAAGGGTTTACACAAGTACATAGGGTTCAAGCTCTCCTTTAGTGAGTATGAATGATTTGTATTAAATGACATTAGGAAATATTGTGAGAGAATGATCTCTATTTATAGAAGAGAGTTTCTAGTTTCATTCTGACATTGACACGTGTCGTGAGTGATTGGCTTCTGATGTTTACTGTCGCACTATGATTGGCTTGATGTCGACACGTGTCACGCTGTGATTGGCCTCCTGGTTGGAGGGAAACTCTTCTGGGTCCTTAACGGTATAACATTGACCGATGCTCAGTAGTTTCCGGATTGATCAAGTATGGTATAAACAGTGCTCCCCTAAGTTCATCCGAGTGAGGAAGGATTGGGGACTTGCAAGATCCAAGCTATGAGTTGAAAACTTCTAAGTAAATGGTTCATTTTATTGTGTCTCATATGTAGATGTGGCATCTTCTCTAGAAGTACTTTTCCTTCATCCAGGGGTGGTGTCTTTAATCGATGAAGATGCAAAAGGTAATGTATCAATTTCACTTGAAACTTACTTGTAGTTTCGGGCTTAGTCAAGTGCGATACAACCCTATAGTAGAAGTCCCCCAAGTCGCCGAGCTAGAAGATTTACTGAAAGAGGAAACAGACATGGTAAGCAATCAGACTTCCAAGAAATCAACCTGGATCAGAGGTTCGACTTCGACTTCCGGTTAATTGTTCTCCTTCTCCTTGTGTCGTAAACAGCAACAAGGATAAGGAGAAGCAAATGGAGAAGAGATGATATGAGATACTTTTGCTTTTAAAGAAGTAACTTTCCACAGGCTTATTCTTGAACTAGACTAGAGGGTTTTCTGGTTTCCTCCAAAGTATAAGGCTGACTAAAGAATTTGAGGGTCAAAACAAATCCATCAAATTTAAAGTACATTCGACCTTGATGATATGGGATATTGCTGTTGACAAAGTAATGGATGTATCGGCACGTGTTCTGTTGCGCTTGTCTCCCCATGATTCCTTGTATCCTTCTCACTTGCCTTATCTGTTCCTCAAGCAGATGTGGTATCTTTTCTAGAAGCATAAGATGTTGAAGATGAGTACTCGAGAGCAATGCCAAGTAAGTAATCGAGCAAGGGGTTCCAGGCAGTCAGTTCCTAACTGGAAGCTTGATTCCAAGTGCTAACTGATTGCTCTTTTTTCTCCTTGTCTTGTAGGTAAGAACAAGGGCAAAGGAAAAGACAGGGAAAAAGCATGATATGGGATATTCTTGCTTTTGACCCTGATGATATGAGATACTCTTACTCTGGTGTGGCTGGTTTGCATAGGTATTATTGGGGGGAAGAAAACTGAGTATTTCGAGAGGTTTCGTTGGGAATGCCCTCTCAGATATGAGGAAGGGTTGAGCATTTTTGCAGGTCTGCCTGTCCGTGGAGGATGAAGGTCGACATATATAGGAGTCTCCCTAACAACAAGTAGTAATGCTATTCCTTTACCCTTTTTGGTCGTAGCAATGCAGTGGGAGCTGCAAGCTTCACATGTTTAACTTTGTCAGAGCACTTTGAAAAAGTGGTATGTGGTATATGGAAAGCTGATGTTGCGTGTGAAGATTGTAGACAAGCTTTATCCAAGGAAATCTGGCTCTCGAAGTTCGGAGAGCGATGCCTCTTCGGTTTTTGAACAAGCAATCATGTCGGGGATCTGGCTTTCGAGATTTGGAGAGCAGTGCCTTTTCGATTTTTGAAAAAGCAATCCCATTGGGAGTCTGGCTCTTGAGATTCGGAAAGCGGTGCCTCTTCGATTTTTGAGAAAGTAATCCTGTTGGGAGTCTGGCTTTTTAGATTCGGAGGGCGGTGCCTTTTCGATTTTTTAGCAAGTAATAATGCTATTCCTTTACCCTTCTTGGTCATAGTAATGTAGTTGGAGCTACAAGCTTCACACGTTTTAACTTTGTCAGAGCACTTTGAAAAAGTGGTCTGTGGTATCTGGAAAGGTGATGTTGCGTGTAAAGATTGCAGACAAGTTTATCCAAGGAAATCTGGCTCTCGAAGTTTGGAGAGCGATGCCTCTTCGATTTTTGAACAAGTAATCATGTCGAGGATCTGGCTCTTGAGATTCAGAGAACAATGCCTCTTCAATTTTTGAGAAAGCAATCCTGTTGGGAGTCTGACTCTTGAGATTCGGAGAGCAATGTCTCTTCAATTTTTAAGAAAGTAATCCTGTTGGGAGTCTGGCTCTCGAGATTCGGAGAGTGGTTCATCTTCGATTTTTTAGCAAGCAATCTTGTTGGGAGTGTTTTCTCGAATGTGAGTAAAGGTTGGGCATTTTTGCCAGTTTGCCTTGCCACGGAGCACGGAGGTTGACACACATTGGGACTTTCTAGTTATCAAATAGTGGTGCTGTTCGTTTACCCTTGTGGGTAATAGTAGGGTAGCTGGACCTTCAAAATTTATGTGCCTAAACTTTGTCAGAGATCTTTGGAAAAGTTATATGTGGTACCCAATGAGCTGATGTTGCGTGTGGAAAGTGGTGCCTCTTCGAAATCCGGAGAGTGGTGCCTCTTCGATTTTTGAACCAACGGCCATGTTGCCGTTTTTTTTATAAGGGCACCAATTGTGTGCAAGGAGTACATTTAGAGAGTTATTGCTTGTAGGAATTTTCTCCTTACTTCAGAGATTTATTGCACCTCATTTCTCCTTCATCATTTCTGAGAATGTCTGGCCCATCCGACCGTCGTTTTGACTTGAACTTTGGTAAAGAGGCAGCCATGCCTTCTCAAGACAACATATGGCGCCCATTCTTCTTATCCTTTATTGGTCCTCTTACCATTGGAGACTATGTGATGAAGAATGATATGACCGCTGCGGTGGTGGCCAGGAACCTTCTCACTCCCAAAGATAATAGACTACTTTCCAAACGGTCTGATGAGTTGGCTGTTAAAGATTCTCTGACTTTCAGTGTTCAGTGTGCAGGTTCTGTGCCTAATATTGCCCAACGCCTATTTGCTCAAACCTACCAAGTTGAATCATTGGTGGTTAAAATGATAAGTCTTAAACAGGAGATCAAAGGGCTCAAGCATGAGAATAAATAGTTGCACTGGCTCGCATATGACTATGCTACAGAAATGAAGAGAAAGCTCGACCAGCTGCAGGAATCTGATGGTCAGATTTTACTTGATCATCAGAGGTTTGTGGGTTTGTTCCAAAGGCATTTATTGCCTTCGTCTTCTGGGGCTGCTCCAAATGATCAACCTTCGGTGCCTCCTCCTTCTGGGGTTCTGCCTAGTACTAAGGCTCCGAATAATCACCCTCTAGT